ATATCTACAGCGGATCTAAATATTTATAATTAATTATAACTAGTTATGATTAATTATTCATATTTCCCTATTAGCTGATTCGCTACAAATGTTTGTCTAGAGTAATTTTTGCTTATTAAACGTTACTTTAATGCGTTACCCCCAACACTGTATATAGAGAGAGAGAGAGAGAATATCCTGTTTTATTCAGAAATCTGTCATATACATCAACATAACAGTTCAATATTCATTACTTATTTTTGAGTGTTTTTTTTGGCATTTGACTGTGTGGTTGCTAGGGTGTCTGAGTGTTTTAGCATGTTGCTATGTGGTTGCTAAGGGTGTCTGAGTGTTTTAGCATGTTGCTATGTGGTTGCTAGGGTGTCTGAGTGTTTTTAGCATGTTGCTACAGTGTCTGAGTGTTTTAGTATGTCGCTATGCAGTTGCTAAGGTGTTGTGAGGAAGTGAGTAAAAATATCACATCTCTCCTCACTGAGTTACATGATTTGAGGTGTCATTCAAGTCTACAGCACAAATGGAACAGAACGAGTTATAATGTAATAATGAATTAGTCTTGCCCAAACCACAAACCCTTAGTATATGTAACAGTAACTGTGACACTTGATGCAACAAACACCACTAAAAAGATGTTACATAATGCAGAAATGTAAGTGTCAATAGCTGAGAGCTTAAATAGCAGCTGATCAGCTCTTACCTGTAATGTATAATTAGCTTTCTCATTTATCAGATGGTTGATAAATTTGGCCGTGTGCTGAAAATGGACTTTCTCTGTGTGAACAGAAAGACATTTTACACAGTGTCAGTTAAACAAATGAAAGAAAAGCATGTGTTTAAGAAATAAAGAAGTTAAGCACAAGAAGCTTTGTTTAATTCAAGGGTTACCGTCCGCCGTCGGGTGAATTAGCATGAGTTTTTTGTCCCTCAGTTGCTCCATGTGGTCTGTTAAGCATGCCATCTGAAAAAATACAAGCCAAAACCATATGTAAGAGAGAGTGCCGGGGAGATTACTTACAAATTGTAGTCTGTTACTGGTTACATGTTAAAATTTGTAGTCAGTACCTAAAATGAGTAATCTCGATTAAACTAATGTATTTTGACTACTTTTGGATTACTTTTAGATTACATTTGACATGACTTGTTTATAGATTTAAATGGGATTATTGTTATTAAAAAAAGAGAAATAAATGCATGACCACTAACCAACATCAGAAGTTGCGAATGTGTTGTTAAATTATTGAAATATTAACTTTAAATCTCAGTAAATATTTAGGTCAAAGTGGTTTGACTGACAAAAAGTTTGGGAATTCCTGCATCACATGAACAAAAATCAAATAATCAAATAATTTGAATAAATCAATTATGAATAATGTACTGCCATTGTGTGAATAATTTGTAATCATGTAATTAGTGCTGGGCGGTATGATCAAACTTTCACGCTTAGTAACACATACAGCTGTTCCCTCACCACAGTGCACCAGTGAAAAGGGACCCCTTTCAAACAGTGTTGCATTCCGAACGTTGTTTTAACGACATGCACCGGTATTGCGGTATTTTAAAAATTCATATCATAACAAAAATAAACACCGGTATTCGGTATGAACCGGTATACCGCCCAGCACTACATGTAATCCATAAAAAGTAACTGTAATCTGACTGAGCATTTTAAAATGTAATCTAATTACAAGTACTTAATTTTTGGAATCTGATTACGTAATCCAGATTACATGTAATCAGTTACTACCTGTTAAATCTGGTAACAGAATTATTTGACCTGACCCTCAACCATCTTATGTTGTGTGCATTACCTCGTATCCTCTCTTACTGGACTGCGGTGATCCTAAATAGCGTTCAGAAAATGCAGAAGCTGCAGGACAGATGATCATCAGTAACACTGAAATGAGTCCATTCATTTTATTCTAATAAATGAATGACAGGCATGTGTGATCAAACACTGGATATGACATCATACCGTATAAAGAGAAATCAGTGATGGGGGAGATGACGGTGCCACACTTGATTTTGAATTGAAACATATTTGGATTTTCATCTGAGCGTAATAGTCGGCTGGCCAGATATCCTCCATATGCCTGAACAGACAAAACAGGTTATTAGTGATGAGTGAACATAAATGATGCTGAATGATACAATCGTGCATCACATGGTACAATTTCATCAAGAGAGAATTTTGAGAAGATTAATATGAATCCAACAATACAGACTTCCTGAAGCCAACATGAAATCAAAACTGATTCTTAATTTTAATATTTTTGATTCTTAAGATTTAATATGTGTTCTTGCTTTTGAATTTTGAACGAGTCATCAGTGCATGTTATTACAAATACACAAAATGTCTTTATAATCACTCATCAAAATTGAATAACAATCGCTTTCCGGGCAGGGTTATTATAGTAAACTAAAACTATCTTTGTTCATTCATAGCTAAAATAAAATATAAATGTAAATAAAAAAGTTGAAGCACTAAAATTACTAACCTGAAAAAAAATTAAAATAAAATAAAACTTAAATAAAGGGGTCATAGGATGCCCATTTTCCACAAGTTGATATGATTCTTTAGGGTCTTATTGAAAAGTCTGTAACATAGTTTGGTTAAAAATTCTCAATGGTAGTGTAAACACCTTTTTTACCCTGTCAAAAGCAGCTCTTTTCAGAGCAAGCCGTTTTGTAGCATTTTCCTTTAAATGTTAATGAGCTCTGCTGACCCCGCCCCTCTCTTCCGAGCTGCTCTCTGAGAGACTGTTTACTTTAGCCGCATTCATCGTGAAACTTGCTAATTAGCACATTATTAGGAAAGGCGATTTGCAAACAATTGCGGACTGATGACAGCTCACTCAGGGCGGAGCTAAGGTAAGACACCAGTACAGTCTGTGCTGTACTGTACTGTCAATCAAACTATCATGGGAGGGGCCTGTCTGTGTGACGTCACACAGACAGGCATCTGAGATCGGCTCGATTTGAGAAGGGGGTAAAGATTTTAGTAGATTAAAAAAAAAAAAAACATTGGGTGGATTTTTATCATTTTAGGGTGGTTGTGTACACACACTGCCAACACAACGACGGTGGGGGTCAGTGACGCGGTGGGCAAGTGACTTAAGCGGTGTTGCGGCTTAACACAGGTATCACCGTCAACACCGTCTATCGCGGCAAGCCTAGCGGGGATTCCCCCGAGGGGTAGTGCTTAGGGAAGTTCTCGAGTGCATGTCTAAAAGCGGAGTGTAACGCAGCCCTGTCCAGTCTGTGCTGAAATGCTACTGTCAATCAACAATCGTGGGAGGGGCCTGGGTCTGTGTGACATCACACAGACAAGAAGCTGACAACGGCTTGATTTGAGAAAGGGGGAATGATTTTAGTAGATTAAAAAAAAAAACATTGGGGGGATTTTTATCATTTTAGGGTGGTTGTGTACACACACTGCCAACACATTTCAGTTCAAACAACTTGTAAAAGTGCATGTAGCATCGGATGACCCCTTTAAATAAAAATAAATTAAACCTAAATAGTAATATTAAAATATAAATATGATGAAAACACATCACAGAATTACCAAAAATTAAACTAAAATTAAAATGAATTAAAACTGAAAATATAAAATTAAAAGCTAATTCAAAATATTAATACAAATTATAAAAGTATATAAATAAAAGTAAAATACTGTACATAGGCCTAATGTGATATAAAAGCGTTTTGTCATGCTACCTCATTACTTGTTGGAAAAATTAGCTTTTGGGAAAAAAAAATAAAAAAAATCACACTACTAGGTAAACAACTCAGCTATTCTCACACTACTCAAACATGTCACTCATTCCCCAAGTCACCAAGCAAACTCACCTTTCCAGAAACTCCAACTCTTGAGCTGTCAATGTATGGCAGCTGTGAGATAATTCTGCAGTGAATCATAGAAGAGATGTAAGCGTGAAGTAAAGTGTTCTCTCAGCACTGATGCTGCTTTAGTTTTAGTGTCGTTCATATAGATGGTCTGACCTAAGAGCTTCCAGCTGGTCTCTCTCCTCAAACTCCCCCAGTTTCTTTCTGATGCGGTGGAGGAGGTTTGTGCCCTGAAAGCCACTGCCACGGCCGTCCAGACGCATGACTATGGTGTTGAAGGAGCTGACCAGCACCGTGGTCCAGTCCACCTGGAACTGCTCTGTCACCATCTGACCACCAGGGGTGCCGTCCCTACCAGAGCAAAGCAAACGTGTCGGAACCATCCGATCAAATGCCTCAAAACAACGTCACGTTTTGATACCTTGTACTTAAAACCCACTGGATGAATGATACGATGAAATATCTGGGTCACAAAAAAAAAGAAAATTATGTAATAAATAAATAATCAAGCCTATTTAAGGTCTTTTAAGTTTTTTTTTTTGTTGTTGTTTATTTTTGCTGCACTGTTAATTCTCCCTCTGTGTGTGTGTGTGTGTGTGTCAAAATCTGCTAAGGGGTAATAATGATCATTTTTTAATAAGTGATTTTTTACATTATTTACATTTATTCTATTATTTACAACAGGATCTGCATGCGTTTAAATGAAATATTTTGGTTATAAGAGACAAAAAAAACAACTTAGTACATCAAACCACTCCTTTCTGGGTAAAAATTTAAATAAAAATTGTGAGCATTTTTGACAAGCCAGACATGTCAGTCTCTGAGTAACATGTAATTTAAACCATAAAATAAATATAAGAAACTACGCAAAAAGCACTTTGCATGTCTCCAGCATGTTTTATAATTACCCAAAAATCAAACATAGTTCACCCCTCATATCACGTCCGTCAAAAACTTAGGCTGGCTGTTGACTGGAATATTAGAACTAAAAACATTAACATAACACACTCATGGGCATCAATCACTGAAAACTTGCCAGCTAAGAAATAAATAATTATTACCGTACAATTATGCTATTTTCAAATCCACATCATTTGAATATTATGATATCGATGTCTGTCAAAAAATAATGTGCACACACGGTAGTATTTACGAGAAGCAGGGGTCCAGCTAGTACACGCATTACCTGAAACTCCCTCTCTACCGGATGTTTTGAATGCATCATAGCTTTCCGAGAAGAGGGAGAAAACATGCTGTCTGTCAGAGACGAAAACGCACGTAATACATAAAGCACATGAGTATAAATTTGTTCTTCACTCACTGAAATTGAATCGTAATGATCAGAGAACTGAGTGAAATACTTCACACCGCATGCTACAGATGATAAACGCCAATCCAATGGAAACTTCAATTTGTGTTAGTGAACATCCCTGTATGTTATATTTTGCCTGATATTTTTTAATACACGATCTACACATTCTGATTATGATTCTGACATTCCTGATTTGAACATTTTCAATAATTCTCTATTCTTGATTGATCTTTTTTTTTTTTTATAATTTTGGTGAACTGTTAAAGGAACACTCCACTATTTTTGAAAATAGGCTCATTTTCCAACTCCCCTAGAGTTAAACAGTTGAGTTTTACCGTTTTCGAATCCATTCAGCTGATCTCTGGGTGTGGCGGTAGCACTTTTAGCTGTAGCTTAGCATAGATCATTGAATATGATTAGACTGTTAGCATCTCGCTCAAAAATGACCAAAGAGTTTCTATATTTTTCCTATTTAAAACTTGACTCTTCTGTAGTTACATTGTGTACTAAGGAAAATGAAAAGTTGCGATTTTCTAGGCTGATATGGCTAGGAACTATACTCGCATTCCGGCGTAATTATCAAGGAACTTTGCTGCCGTACCATGGGTGCAGCA